CCAAGCTAATGACTTTATATTTTTATAATCGAACTAATCTCTGTATAATCTGTACTCATATGTTTTAAAGATCTATTTTTTGAACTTTTCAGATCGTGATTTGTATTAGTCTTTACCCTATCCCCATATCCAGTAAGAGATTTAGAATAGAATGGTAGCTTTCCTTCCCTTGTACCAAGCTAATGACTTTATATTTTTATAATCGAACTAATCTCTGTATAATCTGTACTCATATGTTTTAAAGATCTATTTTTTGAACTTTTCAGATCGTGATTTGTATTAGTCTTTACCCTATCCCCATATCCAGTAAGAGATTTAGAATAGAATGGTAGCTTTCCTTCCCCTATCCAGTAGACTATATGTATCTTGATCTCCCTGACCCATTTCCCATAGTAATAGTGATAGGGCATTAGTATTCCTTTCCCCACTCCATTTATGAAGTGTGTAGTATGTAGAAAATGTAAAAATAAAAAAATTCCCCTTCGGGGGGTCAAGTTTTTACAGAACTGAAACATGAAATAAAAGAAGAAATCAAGAGTCTTATCATTCCAATGACTAAAAAATAGACAACTTAACAAAGAGCATGGAAGAAATTAAAGCAGTTGCAGACTCAGCTGCAGCAGAAGTGAAAAATAACAAACAAGCTATCTTGGAGCTACGTGATTATGAAGCCTGATCCAAAAGTAAGTTAATGTTACTAGAACTCAGAGTGCGTGAGCAGAAAATTAAAATTCGTGGGATTCCACCGAACTTTGAACTGAACACCAACCTGACTACAGCTTTAAATTCATGGATGAGTGGTGAGTTGAAACTTTCAGTTACAGTGGTTATGACAGCATACAGACTAAACACTAGTAGAGCTGTGTCACGAGCCTTAATCCCGGATGTTATTGCAGACATTGTGGATGTTCAAACAAAGAAAGTAATCGTAAGAACTGCTCGTAGCCAAAAAGGTTTGAAACTAGATGACGTTTTCATCCAAATATTCCCAGATGAAATCTTGACGCTCAAAGAAATATGCGTCCAGTGGTACAGAGACTAATAGAACTAAAAATACCATATCGGTGGTTACCTCTGGGTCATCTCAGAGTTACCCAAGGGGGAAGGACTTGGACAGCGCATGATGTACCTTTGGGAGAGGAAATGATTACGACTATTACGCAGGCTGCCAGTGGCTCATAGGACTAGACCTGATAAGGATGTGAAATAGGCAGTGCTGGAATAAAAACTTTTACTTAAATTTAAATTGGGATTTTGCACAGCGTGGGTAAGACTGTATAGGGAAGATCCCCAGCCCGCCAATGGTGAGTCTCTTTTAGGGACTCCTTTGGGGAACCAAAGATTCCAGAGCAGGCAGCATGTCCTGAAAATAAATACTAGAAGATAAAATTTTTGGTGTTCAGCAGTAATTCTTGCTTTTCTTTAATTGTAATAGTTACATAATAAAATCATATATTAGAAGTGTAAAGAAATAAATTGACAAATAATTAATAGTAATTGAAAAAAATAATTTGGGGTTAAGGGGGGTAAGGAAAACAAAAGATGTATAAATTGTATAATGATATATTTTCGAAACGTAGAATTAAGTTTGTGGGAACGTTCCCAAGTGGATTATAAAGATAGGGCAATAGATATATTAGAAGTCAATCCAATTTGGGCATATTGTAGGCTATCCTTGACAAATTTGTTTAAATGTTATTCCTTCCTTTGTTATGATGTTTTGTATAAACTTGTATTATGGGAATTAAAAGCAAAATAAAATATTTTTAAAAAATTTAAAGTTCACAACAAAGATATAAGAAGTCAAATAATTTCAATTTTTAAAATACTGCACATCAAAATCAGTAATATAACCTACTTTTTTTTTTAAAGCATCAAACCAGATTTCTTCCTACATTTGCCTCAACTGAATACATGTGGCAAGAGCCAGAGGAGGGCACCACCACAAAAAGAGCAAGAGCTGATGATAAGCTTATTTCAGACAGCAGTGGCACCCAGAGAAGCATTTCAGAGCTGGGGCTTCTTAGGGTATCAGTTTAGTTCTAATAGAGCTTTAAAAGGTCAAATCCAACAGCTTCAATTTAGCCAGGAAACAAACTGGCAACTGGTGGAACTCACCGAGGACTGGAAGCTAGCACCAGTCATGGGACCACATTCTGGACTGACTCTTTTGCAGGATTCTTTCAAGAGCAGACCCCTGTAATTTGGTACAAGGCCAGCGAGGTCATAGAGACCATGCACGTCAGGCGACTTCATAAAAACAAAAACCAGTATTCTACGATGCCTGTTGATATTCTCCTCTCACTTTGCTATGCACTTTAGCCACTTTCAGGCTAACACAGGACTCTGGGCTCTGAGGCAAAAAGGAGTAGAAAGAACTTCACTAAATCAGCCTGTTTTTCTAACAGGTTGGTAAGTGGTTGGTAGCCTGCACAGACAGCACAACTTCCATTTTCAGAGACAGCACACCACTGATTATTGCACACAGAGTTAGAGTTTGGTGTTGATATTGTCTGCCCATTAATGTGTCCTGGACCTAAATTTAACCATTGCCCATGGACAACACTCTACTATATTTCTAATTCTCAGGAACTTTCTGGGAGGGCAAAGTATCATTACCAAATGGCTTCTTGAGAGGGACTGGAACAGCGTGACATCATGTGGAAGCGCTACCTAAAAAGTAGGGGCATGGTGTGTTCCACCTGGAGAAAAATCACCACATGGAAGCAACTACAATCTCTGGTACTGTAACCAGAATGTTTAAATGTCTTTAACAACTGTTACACAAAGAAAGAACCAGCCCTTGAAGAGTTCAGGACCTCCTTGAATATCATTACAGGTAAATTTGCTGTGAGACTGTTTATTTCTTACAGTTTTCTTACTTCCTGTCCTCACTCTAATTGCATCCAAATCCAATTATATTTGCTAAATTCCATGAACATACATCTGGATAGGTATCAGATTAGAAAGACCATGACTCCACAAAGGAATACTAAAGAACAGCCTGTAAAAATCATATCAACAAGTAAAAATCATATCAACAAGACCCAATCCATATGAATAGAAAAAATATATTGCTACTTGTAAGTTGGTGCAAGCAGTGCTTAGTACTTGGAGGGGGTTATTGCTATAAAACAGGAAAGATCATTCCGTGAGGGTTTCTCATCACTCAGTTCTCTTAGTGAGTCTTCAGCCATGCCAAAAACATAAACAGGACAAGGCACAGACTGTCCCCAATTCTGTTGAGCATCAGTTTTTGTTTATACGTTCCAAACTGCAGGACGAAAGATATTTTGTGGCAGATTCAGATGGAAAGTGAAAATCAGCTTTTGCTTAAAACAATTTATAATGCAAATGTTAAATATGCATTGGCTAGAACGTAACTTCTCTTCATGTCACACATGACACCAACAAGTTAAGTAAGAAGAGCTCAAAGGCATTGTTGGTATCACGTGTGAAAATGTTCTTAAGGGTAAACTTGCTCCTCCTTCATCCTCTGCAAGCATAGCTCCACTGAGGAAAGGTGTTGGCTCTATCCCTTTGCCCCAGTCAACCTACCAAGCTGCAGTGCAGAGCTAATCCTCTGCCTGCATAACCCCAGCAATGATCTTCCCAGTATTCAGAAGCGGCTGCTGCAGGAACTGAGAGAAACATGGGGAATTATGCATGCCGTCCATGCACAGATTATTGGATCCATTCAGTTATGGTCCTCTTTCAAATGTGAGATAAAGCACAGCAGAAATATTTTAAATACATGAATAGGCTCAAATCAATATGGATGCTGCAATATAATGCCAGGTTGTTCATAAATGTAGCACGTACCCAAAATAAAATCCTTTTCTCTGCTTTGAAAAATCCAAATTGTCCCCTGTAGACAAAACCACAGAGAGAAGAGGAGAGTAAATCTGTGGTGAAAGCAGCCATCATGCAGCAGAAGAAGGTTTGCCAGGCCAGTTTAATGTCCCAAAAAGAGGCCACTTCCTCCAGTGTAAATAGAAGTCCACCCACCGGAGCATGGAATACTGAGGCAATCCCTGCTCCTGCACCAGCAGTAATGAAATTCCTCCTACAAGAGGGGAGATAAACACATTAGACAAGAACAGCAATGCAGCACAGCACAGCCTTTTCAGTCCCGTTTTGTATAACAGACTTTTGTGCTCTTGATCTTTAGTACAGACATAAAGAGTTACTATTTGATGAGCTAGGAAGAAGTCCCCAAAGTTAGATGTTTTTTGGACTAGGAGTCAAAATACTATCTCTTTTTTTAACTGCCCCCAGAGATGGACACTAGAGTCACTTAAAGCAGTAAACTTTCAAACTAGTCACCCCTGGCTTACCAAGCACTGCCTACCTAAATTTCCCTCCAGGGCAGGTTTTTCAAGATCACCTTTATCTTGTCGATATGATCCTGAAAGAAATACCACTTTAGGCACAGTGCCAGGGTAAGGAAGTCATTTGCTGAGGGTGTTGTTATAGGAGCATGATAACTTCTAAACTTGAAAATAACCCTTCTCATTAAATGCATATGTTTCTAATACCAGCAATTCATATACCTCAAAATAAACACTTAGGTTTTAATAACTGGGACACAGACATTTCTGTTCATTGTGAGGTAATCATTGGTTTTCCTTTCATTTCTTTGAAACCCCAAATTGGCAGGCAGTCTGAAAAAGGAGTGTTGCCACAGTCATATGGAGGCATGAAAATAGGAATGCCAACTTCCAGGTGAGAGCTGAGGATCCCCTGGAATTAGGTTGCCATCCCTCCGATTGGGGTGGGTTTCCCCCCAATTTCAGGGGCCCCAATCCACAGTGGGGGAGCCCAGCCCCCCCATGACCCCCATTCTGTCCAATGTGGCCAGTGCAATGATGTCACCTGGAGGTGATCTGCCCCCCATGAGCCCCATTCTGTACGATGTGCCCAGTGCGAAGATGTCACCTGGAGGTGATGTCATCATGTTGTGCCATAGAGTTTGTTGCCCAAATGCTAGAGCGTCCCACATTATGCCCAGCATAATGACATTACCTCCAGGTGAAGACTCCCAGATCAAGACTGGACACACACACACCTGCCAGCAGCCAAGTAAGATCTGGTAACCCTACCTGGAATTACAGCTCATCTCCTGACTACAGAGATCAGTTTCCCTGTAGAAAATGGATGCTTTGGAGGGTGGACTCTATGGCATTGTACCCCACTGAAGTCCCTGTCCTCCCCAGGCTCCATCCCCATATCTCCATTTTCCCAGCCTGGATCTGACAATCCTACCACTCCATCCACCCTCCATTGACCGAGGGGGACACCTGGCTACCCTACATGACAATGGCAGGCCTTCTGAAACCCACACTTTTCAGTAGGCTATGATTATCACAAACTGGCTCTTCTGAAGCTGAATCAGATCAAGCACTCTTGTACGATGGAAGCTCAGGAGCCAATGCAATACCTGTGTAGTCTGTCAGATGAATTCCAGTTGCCAGGGGGACTTTTATGAATGTGGAAAGGATCTTTGGAAATCTGCCGTATTTGTTTTAAATTAAATTTCTTCCAAAAATAACAGTTTAAGGGATACGTCCCTAGTTTATGTCAGTAATTGGTGACGCAAACTTAAGAGGCAAAATGTATCATGTTTATTTGGACTGTCTGGTTATCCTTGGGCCATGGGAAGCTTGTTTGGATGTACAACAAACGCGATGGTCAGAGGCATAAGTTTTATTTATATACTTTGATCAGTGAATTAAAGCTATAGAACTTGATCCTTCAATCCCTTCCATGTGCAAGTTTAACACAATCAAAATAAATCTAGTGTAAAATAGGACCTTTCAGGATACCTCACCGATTTGCATTTGCCAACGTTTCAAAATAAAATAATGCATTTATAATTTATGTTCATACTGAGAGATCTGCGGATTTGTCACATCTGAGTTTGTTGGAAATTTGTTTTTAAAAACAAACATGAGCAGGAAGTGATTTTCCCGTTTCTCACAATGAAACCCTTGTATATAAGTGACATCAATTCAAAGTGCTATCATGAATGGAAAGTTCTATTATGTGCATGCTTTATAGTCAAATACTACTTCAACGTGTGCCTAAAGGCCATGAACAATCAGAGCAGAACCTCATTTCCTTCTATGTATTCAACAATTTCATTTTACAATACCTGATCTCTGTTTACTCCGTAGGCATGCAAAACAGAAGTATATCATAGCAAGTCTCCTTAATCAATTTTTTCCAATTGACATAAAAAGACAAAACAGTTTGTTTGGAAGAGCACTATTTTTTGTCCCTTAGCTAAGAAAAGGCCCATAAAAAAAAGAAGGGTCATGAACTTAAAGCACAACTTAAAGCAAGAGAGGCAGTGAAATCTAGATGTTTCAGGATAACTGAAAACTCATATTGCACCATGAAGCCACACAAATAGGAGGAGGTGAAGCAGAAATTCCTACAAACTTTCTACCCAGATATATACCTCAGACTTTGCATACTTTGATAAAAAAATATACTTGATATATTTCCTTACTTGTCAGCTGAATTCCAAAATCTGGTCAAGGAAGGAAGATGAATTCCAAGGATTTCAGACTTGAATTGGCTCAGCCCATATCCTATTATTGCACTGGAAAAAAAATATTTCTAAGTATTAATTTGAAATTTAATTTGTACTCTTACAAAGTTTAAATTAAAGAGAACAAGTACCCAGATTCCACAGAGCTGCAGTGCAATTTTTATTCTTTCTTCTGATTATGAATTTTATTCACTTTCAGAAATATACTATCCTTTCAATTAAAGAGAGGTGCAATTTTAAACATCATACTTAAAAGCACCACTTGAACCTTTCTTGTACTATCACATGCCACCCGTGAATGATGCAAACTATGACCAATTTTAAATCAAAACATATATTTAACTGATGAAGACTGTAGATGGGTGTGGCATTGCGGGCTTGATGGCAGACGTATAGAGGCTTTGCTCTCCTACCCTCCTCACGATTTTGGGCTCTAGCCTCCACAACTTGCACCTATCAAGGCTCCAACTATGGGCAGAACGAGCAACATCAAAAATAAAAAGGTACCGACAAACCCGCAATTGATGATGGACTTATTTTCGAAGGACAATCATAAAAAAGGCACAGGCTGTGAAGCTGCACCTGCACACAAGATGGTGAACGGGACAGAGATTGCAGATGACGACGGTACGGTACTTTCCCACCACAAATTTCTAGCAATGATTTTAAAACTGAAAGAAAACATTGTGGGCAAGATCTGTTCTGCTCTTAAACCTTTTACTGACCAGCTTGAGAACCTTACAGAAACTCTAGCCCAGGTATCTCAAGCAGCAGAATCGGCCTTGGAAGGCACAATAGCTACACAAGAAGACGTGCGGAGACTCCAGTCCTCAAAAGAGTGGGCTAGGAGTAGAATCATGATTCTTGAAAATAAAATGAAAGAACAGAACCTGAAATTCAGAGGACTGCCTGAGAAAACAGGAGGTGATTCAGAATTTAAAAACTTATTAGCCTCTTGGCTGGCGAAATCTCTTGAATTAGAGGAGGGTGTAGCCCCACTGATAGATAGGGCATATCATCTTGGCCCTATTACCAAGTGTTCAGACCAAGTGCCCAGAGATATTGTTGCTACTTTCCCAGATAGCCGGACAAGAGACAAGATTTTAAAGAAATCTAGAACAGAAGGAGGTCTTATTTTTCGAAATTCTCATATAATAGTCCTACTAGACCTCTCTTTCGAGACAGCGCAGAAAAGATACGAAACCAATCACCCAGAAGTAGTCAGAACATAGAATTTGATTCAGATGGATCTCTTCCTGTGAGCTAATGGTTATTCACCAGGGACAGAGACTTTTCACATCTGATTTGAAAACTGGATACAAGCTTCTCTCAGCCCTGCAAATAGAACATGAAAGACCACCTTCACCTTCTTCTGTGGACTCAGAAACTCAAGTTCCAAACTCATCCTCCAGGTGGAACCATGTTAACAAACATGCTTTACCATAAACTTAATGTTGGAAATGTAAGCAAAATGTTGGCTCCTTCTTTCATATTGTAAGGTAACAAAAAATATTGGACATGGATACATGAGATATTGCAAAAAATGTTAGAAACAACTATACCATTTATGCCAGATCTGTTTTTATTAAATATTATTCCAGAGAATTTTAAGAAACCAGATGCATATATGAAGAAGAGGAGGAGGAGGAGGAGGAGGAGGAGGAGATTGGATTTATACCCCGCCCTTCGCTACCCAAAGGTGTCTCAGAGCAGCTTACAAACTCCTTTCCTTTCCCCTCCCCACAACAGACACCCTGTGAGCAGTGTTCCCTCCAAGCTGAGTTAGTGTGAGCTAGCTCACAGTTTTTTAGCCTCCAGCTCACACATCTTTGTCTTAGTTTAGGAAGGATAGCTCCGGAGCAAACTAATTTATGCAGCAGCCAAATCGCTCACTCACAACTTTCATGCCAGTAGCTCATGAAGCAGAATTTTTGCTCACAGGACTCCACAGCTTAGAGGGAGCATTGCCTGTGATGTAGGTGGGGCTGAGAGAGCTCTGACAGAAACAGCTCTTTTTCAAGAACAGCTCTTATCAGAGCTACGGCTTGCCCAAGGTCATCCAGCCAGGTGCAAGTGGAGGAGTGGAGAA